CCGCCCTGCCCCCGCCCCGGAGCCTGGGGCCCCACCTCCTCATGCCCTCCTCCTTGTCACCTCAACCTCTCCTCCCCACGGCCACACCTCTCCTCTCGCTCTCCTACCAGCCGCCTTCCTAAGCGGGGCTCCCCTTCCCCCTGACCCGCCCACCCTCTCTCCCCACTGCAACTCCCATGAAAATAGTCATCAAAAGGGACTACTTGCACTCACAGAGATCGAGTTACCGCCTGCTAGGTCAGTGACAGACCCGTGGTGATGGTGCCGTCTGGGGGGAGGGAGGGGACGGCCCTCCCTTCTCCGCTGGTATCAGAGCCGAGCTTCGATGGCTGTGGTTAGAAGGGTCCACGTGAACGTCCCCGGCCCCCCCCAGCCCCAGGTGCCACGGTAACGAGGGTGCCGACAACAACGCAGAGTTCAGGGGGGCGGCCAGCCTTTGCGAGCAGCATCTTCCCTGCGGCCCAGGTCGCGCTTCGAATGGATTTTTACGACCACATCGATGCGCGTGTGCCGGGACAAGGAATGGCTTCTCATCTACAGAGAAAACGCCGTTTTCTCGTGTTTCGCTATGAACTAACTGAGGAAGCATGGACTAGTGAAAACGAAGGCGAAGGCTGCTGAAATTTCACCTTGACCTTTCGACGATCTTCCGATGTCATGGATGTGAACGTGAAGAAGTCGGATGTGCTGAGCGCCTACTTGCTGCTAATCGCTGTGCTGCTTGTTCGCACTCGAATGGGCTAATCGTGAGCCGATGAGATTAAAACGGCCCAATTTTATAGCTTCTCCCGCCTAATTCCATCATCGCAGTCCCTTCGCAGAGCAGGAAGGACCTGAGCTCCTCCGAGCCGGAGTTTGGGAAGCTTTATGCCAGCTTTTCCTTCACTGTGACAGTGATGTTGCACAGGCAGAATCTGAACCTCAGGACACGCAGTCATAGCTGCCCGTCCCGATGCGTAGGCGCTCACCCCGATTCGATTCCAGCATGGCCGTTAGCCCCAGAGAGCCGGCACCCACCTTTCTCCCCCAGCAGAGGCGGAGTCTAAACACGATGTGACAGCAGACTTCCCCGCCATCGACAAGGCCGTCTGGCTCCATGTCTAGTGGGGCCACTTCCCAGCCCCACGGGGAGGGGCGTCTGGTCTGCACGTCTGCTCCGGGAGGGGGAGGTGGGCGCCCGGTGGCATCACTTATTTGTATGTGGTGTCCCCTCTGATGGGAAGATGGCCCGGGGATTTACCGGCTGTTCCCTTGACACACGTGTCCCTGAAACAGGTCACGTGCCAAGTCCGTGGCAGGCGGTCCTGTTGCTCTTGCTGACGGCGTCACTGTCTTGTTTTCAGCATGTGGCATGAACGTGCATCACCGATGCCAGACGAAGGTGGCCAACCTGTGTGGCATAAACCAGAAGCTAATGGCTGAGGCGCTGGCGATGATCGAGAGCACCCAACAGGTAGGAACGCTTAGGGTGACGAGTTCCCCCAATTCCAACTCGGCGAAGACTATTGCTCTTGTCCCTTTGCTCTTTGCTCTGTAACAGCCGTGGGGGACAATGGGGAGTCTGTTTTGAGCACTTGCCTGTCCCCTGTCCCTTTCAGGCCCACATATCCCCCCTTTGAGATATTTATGGAACGCCTTTGCATCGTATGGATCTTTTTAAGATCTTAAATCCTTTGTGGAAGGAGCTGGGCCAGAAGCAAATACATTCATTAAAAGGACAGAGGTGTCATCGCCAGCTTTGTGAGGGCCTGGGGAAAACGCGTACTTGCTAGAATCATCCCCAGACTGCCCTGAGAACACTGAGCGCAGAACACTGAGCGTGCTAAATTCACATATCCACGAGCCAGCCCTCCTTAGGACTTGGCGATGCTATTTCCAACCTTCCCTTCTCCTTGGTGACAGAGTGGTGTGGATAGCGTGGGAGAAACCAGTGCGCCCCAGGAAAGTATGAACGCAGTGAGCATGCTCTGCCGGGGTGTAAAACCCAGCAGACAGGCTCTCCCGGGGCTCGGGGCCCGGAAGGACAGCCGGGGGAATGGGGAATTTTGGTCGTCCCGCGCCTGTGGAGGCCTCCGACGGCTTTCGTCCCCACGGACGGCAGGCTGAGCTGCTGCATCAGCGCTGGGCGGCCTGACGCTCTGTTTGTAACCTAGGCTCGCTGCTTGAGAGACACCGAGCACATCTTCAGAGAAGGTCCGGTTGAGATCGGTCTCCCGTGCTCCGTGAAAGGCGACGCAAGGCCACCACATGGGCCCGCCCTGGGGAAACGAGGTAGCTACCCCCCGATCCCCATGGGACCCCGACTCGCCTGAACCCGAGTCCTCCACGCTGGATAGTTGTTGTTTTTTTTCCTATGTAAAGACTGTAGACCCAGCCACCAGCTGAGAGGCTCCTACTTCTTAGACGTGAAACCAAAACATGCCTCATCAGCAGGTGGGAGGCTTTTTGGATGGTTCTAGAGGAAAAAAAAAAATTATAAATTTTTCCTTAGAATTTTAGAACGTTACTTCCTCTCACCATTAAACAGTTTGACAAAAATAAATCCACCAAAAGATTCACGGTGAGAATGCCTCAGAAGACCCTCGTTCTTCCCCTTCTGGGAAGGCAAAGCATACGCAGGGGACTGGCAGGGCCCAGAGTCCCCAGCTTTTGTGGCGTGACGGCAGTTTCCCCAGCCTAGGGTCGGAAGGTCGGTCACGAGAGGTGATGCCCGCCTGCTCTGGAGCCCAGACAGTTTCAGGTACATTACAAAATACTTATCTTTCTTGGATCTCGGCAGAACGTGAAAGATAAACCTAGAGGCTGAAGAAAAAATGTCACGACTCCAGCCACACACACAAAAAAACAGTAATTATGGGACGTGATAGTGGCAAACATATCACGATACGTAAATCTATCAAAATCAGCGTGCGGTACCCCGTAAATTAGCACAAAGTGGTGTGCCAAATATATTCCAATAGAAAAAGCAAGTATATACAAGGGAGGAAGGAGGATTCTAAAAGCCTTTTCCTACACGTCCTCCGGCACGAACCGACTTAAAATGTTTAAAAGGCAGGCTCGGATGAGACCTGGGGACGCGGGGAGTGGACCGTGCCGTGTCATGTGTTGACCTGAAGACTGTGACGGACGATGCAGTTTGGGTCTTTGACAATCAGCTCTATCCATCCCTCCCACCCCGCCCGTAAGTCATAGAAACGGACGCCACTGAGCCTCTGAGCCACGCAAGTGCTGAGGACTGTTTTTTCCTCAGACTCGGTCAGCATCCTTCCTTGGGCGGGGTCCGACACGGCTGCAAGAGCTTGCGTGGCACGTAGTCTTTGCTCAGGGGGTGCTTCTCGGCCTGACGTTCCGCAGCCTGCAGGACAGAGGCCCCCACACCAGGCTCGCGGGAGGGATGTGGGCGTGCATCCTCCAGGGGGCGAGGGTGCCCCCCACCCGCTCCTCCCCATTCCCTTCTGACCGCGGTCACCATTTTCAGAGCCACAGGGCATCTCCTGGGAGTCTCCCCTGGATGAGATGGAGAAAATGGGCTGCCACCCAGAGCCCGAACTGAACGTGGAAAGATCATCTCTACGTATGAAATTGAAGATCGAAGATTTCGTCTTGCACAAAATGTTGGGGAAAGGCAGTTTCGGCAAGGTATGACTCCGTGCTACGGGATTCTGCAAACCGGTTTCCAGAGCTGGAGAGCCAAGGCCCTGGTCGTGAGGACCGAACTCCCGGGCCGGGAGCTGTGGGCGGGTGGGCCGGAGTGTGGCCTGTGTGCTCTGCAGGAGGCAGAGATGCCACAATGGACGGGGCCTGGGGACCCCAAGGACCCCGGGGAAGAGCAGCCTCTGCCTCCTGGGAACTATAGTTCCCAGCCATTTCGCTTCGAAGGCGCCCGTCCCGCGCGACCTTGTGAGTTTGGTGGCGTCTTTGGACTCGCGACGAGGTGGAAGCAGCCTCAGTCGGTTCCTAGTTCACGCTGGTTTTTCGCTCGGTTGGTGTTTCGTGGTTGTTGGTTTTTGGCCTTTGTCTCACACCTGGAGCGTTGTTTTACTTATTCCCTGATTCCTTTTCCCTACCAAATGCCCTCGGCCTTCTCTGAGGCGCCTAGGACAACCGGGACAAAACAGCACAGGCTGGCGGCTTCCCCAGAGAAAGTTATTGCTCAGTCACAGCGGGGAGTCAGATCAGGGTGTCTGCAGGCGGGTCCCTCCTGCGGCCTCTCCCTGTGTGCCCTCGGGGGCCTTCCTCTGTGCCTGTCTGTGTCCTGGATCAGGGCCACCTCGATGACTTCCTTTTAACTTCGTCACCTCCGTAGTGACTGCCTCTAAATACGGTCATACTTGGAGGTCCTGGGGGTCAGGACTTCAACCTACGGGTCTCTGGAAGGGACACGATTCCATCCTTAGCACCTCGACAGTCTGAGAGCCCTGGGCAAAGCGTCTCAGAGAAAGTCCCTCCTCCAAATTCTTCCTGCCACGTACTCGAGTTATGGGCCGTCTCTGCCAGTCGCAGAGGACGAGGAGGAAGAAGAAAGCATAGTGGGAAATCGCAGCCAATCATCTATGAGGGCAGAGTACTTACCAGCCAGTGGTCGTAAGGAGGGATGACACAGAACACAGAAGTCGAGGTTGCTCTGGATGTGGAGGACGTGTGACGTGTCACATTCCTGGCTGGGCCGCCTCTGAGAATTTTAGCCGGATACTGCGGTTCTGGGGATTTGAGCCTATCCGAAGCCAGCGTTGTGCTCAGCAGCCGCTCACCAGACTCTGGCTGGAAAACCTCCCAGTTTATTTAATAATAAACAAACTAAAACGCAACTGGTTATGGTCACGGCTGACCGACGCTGTGCTGCGGTTGGGGTTCGGATTTAAAGGACAGGGCATTGCCTGTGGCCTCGTCTACCCAGCTCATTCTTTCAGTTCATTTACACAATAATACGAACCGCAGCAGGCCCATTGGGTGTTCATCTGGGTGTAATAGGCAATGTTATTGCCTGCGAAGATTCTAATTTAGCCTCCATTAATGTGCGTTATAACCCGTTACCAAAAATTGAAAGCACATTCTGGAGATGGAAATTACCTTTTCAGCGTCTTCCTTTCTGGCTGGGTTTGGGATGTTTTATTGAAAAGAACAATTACCAAAAGAGTATGTTTAATTGTTAACGAAATGTCTGTCTTTCTTTATTCCCATGGGGATGTCGACACTTGACCGAGCGTGGTTAGGAAAGACATTAAGTTAAACCTAAGACCCTTGGCGCATATCCCGAGGGACAAGCGGGAGCCTCAGGTATTCCCCGCTCCGTGTCCCGGCCACCAGCGCCCTGGGCTCCTACGATCGGGGCCCCGGGAAAGGAGGACGAAGCATCAAAGCAGCACGGCACGGTCCTGCTTCCCTTCCCTAGCGCGCTGAGAATGTGCCCAAACCCGTTTCCTCCCTCCCTCCTTTACGCTCTGCACAGCGAGTACGGCTCCTCGCCAACACGGCAGCCTCCGTGGCCACTCGTAGGCCCGGGAGAACGAACTGCATGTTTTCCGATGCCACACGCCTTTATTCATTTGCCTGAATTCTCGGCTCTGTGCTCTCTGCCCTCTGCCACGCTAGCCGCCCCAACGCTGAGAGTCGGCACCGTGTTATTCTAAACGCAGACACGTGCATCCTCACGCCTGGGTTAGCATCTCTGACTTCAGTATTCCCTAAAAGTCCATCGAAGCAGCAAACGCCGAGTGTTCTTACTACGCGGCATCCGGAGAGCGTTCTGCCGCTCACGGATCGCTTGCCCACGTGGCGTCCCGTTGGCTTCCACGGCGGTCCTGCCCGTTAGGGAGTGTGGTGACAGTTCTCTCTGACACGTTAGGGAACCGAAGCCCAAGATGGGGAACGGGTTCGCCCGCCTTCCCACAGCCGGTCCATGTCTGCGACGCGACCCCGAGCTGCAGCCTTCTGCCTCCGCACGCCACGGCCTCGCAGCTGTCGGTCGGCTGTTCCTGCACCACTTGCAAAGGCGAAAGCTGGAGAAACTCTCCATTATGTGCCATCCGGTGTCCTTTCATGCGAGAGTCGTGGAATCGAGGAGGAAAAGTCCCCCTCGGAGTTAGATTTTCCACTAAGTAGCTCCATGAATTCAAGGAAATTTAGTTATTCTTTGAACCTAGTTTTT